ACAGCAGCTTTAGTCACCGAGGCTAGGGATAGAACCTGTCTCTTATACACATCTAGATGTGTATAAGAGACAGGGATTCAGGATGGCAAAAGGCAGCCCTTTTTAAATCAGCCCTTTTTTTTTTTTTTTTTTTTTTTTTTTTTTTCCGTCTTACCTCTGAGCTATCCAATACTTCTTGCACTCTTCCTGAGTGAGCACCATCAACTCCAAGCAATTTTAAAACCTGTCAGATTCCACAATTCAAGTCGATCAATTCAAATTTCAAACCAGCAGCGTTTCCCGGTCACCTCCGACCCTGCTCAGTCAATCCCGTGAGGCCCACGGTAATCAACGCTGACACGGAGAATCTGGGAAATGTCTTCACACTGTGAAAAAAAAGAAAAAAAAAGAAAAAAAAGGAAAAAAAAAGAAAAAGAAGGAAAAAAAAGAAAAAAAAGGAAAAAAAAACAAAAAAAACAAAAAAAGAAGTAACATCAAGAAATTCATTAGCTCCGAGTAACAGACACTGCATAGCTATGGATGATGTGCTCCCCTGCATTCACTCACAGAGCTATGGATGATGTCTCACCGGAATAGACCGTCCACCTGTCAGAAGAACGGACACGTGGCATGCCAAATATGAGTTCTGGCTGTTTTTGTGGCAATTGACTTCTTTACTTCTTATTCTGAATGACTCTCCTCCTTATGGCGCTGCAAGGACTTGTCAGTTAACGTCGAGGGTTTCGGAGTGGGATTTGACTTTCACGGCGATGAGCAGTTAATCCCCTCGGCTGAGGGCAATCAATGCTGCTCATCAGGTAATAGAGTGTGCCTGCGTGTCGGTCGGTTGATCACACATGTCTTGAGTGGGACGGACACGTGGCATGTTAACATGGATTCAGGTTGCTTACAGATTACCCGATTACAAATGTTGAGGGATGCTGGACCCGATTTCCAGCAGGTGTTGCTCCCCACCAATAGATGGAGCCTCCCCGAGCATGTTAGTGGTGCTGTCTCTTATACACATCTAGATGTGTATAAGAGACAGCTGTACGTACTATGTCATACTATGTCGTATAAACCAACCACAAACGAAGTACGTACTATGTTCCGACTTGCCAAGCACACACTTCAAATAAACCAA